GGGGAGAAGGAGGAGGTTTCCCCCACCCTTTTTTTTTTTTTTTTTTTTTGAGAGGTTTTCGCTATTGGGTGCGTGCGCTCGCCAGACAGACAGAGAGAGACAGAAAGACAGAAAGCGAGAAATCACCCCCCAGGGGGATGGTCACACTGCAATCCCTTCTCCATTCTCCTCTCGGGATCTTGGGCACAAACGCACACGCGCCCGGCGTGAATTTTAAGCCACTGGGTCCGGGACTCGAACCACAGTCAACTACGTGGGAGTCCAGCGACACAGCCATTACGCTAACTGCTGGTTCCCATGGTTTCACTCAGCCTTGAGGCCAAGGGAGGAAGCAGACCGCGGGCCTAGCTGGGGGCTGGGGGTAATGACGGGACCTGAGCTGTCGGCTAGAAGAGGTGTGAGGGCACTGTTCCCAGAGGGCTTGTCAGCCAGCCAAGGAGCTCGTTCTGGGGGCACTGGGCGCCCTGGAAGGTTTAAGCAAGGGCTGGGCATGCTCAGGTTGGAGGCCTCTTTGTCCCAAGCCAGTAGCCACGGGGTGTGGAGGAGGGGCCGGAGTCGGGGGATCAGGCTGAGCAGGGGAGGACATGTGGCCCAGGGGCTTCTCTGAGTGACTGTCCCATGAAGAAAACTTCTGGGAAGTCCCCTCAGGTCTGTAGAGCTAGAGCAGGTGACTCTGTCTTTTCTCTGTCCAGAGGAGACCAACTCACAGGACCACCGTCCCTCAAGTGGTACTCAGAAACCAGCCCCCTCGGTGAGTAACGTGAGTGGGGATCTGTGACCAGGCCCCTCATCCTCTCGTGTGTGTCCGTGTGTGTGTTGGAGACAGGGAGGTTGAGCCCTCTGCATGAGATAAGGTGTTCATCCTCAGAGTGGAGGGGGCCGAGGTAGTCCCTCAGCCCTTGGGAGAGCACATACAGAGCGCCACCCACCCTCATCTGACAGGAAAACATGTCAAGGCTCAGAGGGGCCAAGTGACCTCCCCAGAGTCAGTGACGTACTTGCCTCCAGACTCAGAGCCTGGCTGATGGCCTAGGCTGTAGCTGTGTGGCCCTGGGGGTGTAACATAGCCTCCCTGAGCCTCGCTGTCCTGCTCAGCTACTGGTGACTTTGGGGCATGGGGGTGGCGGAGGGTGTGTGCACAGGCCCCTGTTGGGGATACTCTTATCCCTCTGCCTTCACGCTGGGATCCCAGTCAAGGAAAGATCTGCGTCACCATCACTGCACCCCTGCACCCCTCTATCCTAGGACTTCTGAGGCTGCTATGTCCTGATGCTCTGGCCCTTGGGCCATCCTGTAGGGAGGGTAGAGGAAGAGAGAGGCTCCCAGCTGTAGTTCTGCCCCAGGTTAGAATGAGAGGGGCAGGCGCCAGCAGTTGACGTAATGGCTATGTCCCTGGACTCCCATATAGTCGACCGCAGTTTGAGTTCCAGATCCAGTGGCTTAAACTCACAATGGGCGCGTGTGCGTGCGTGCCCAAGATCCCGAGAGGAGAATGGAGGAGAAGGGACTGCAGCATGGCCACTCCCCTACCCGGGGTGATTTCTCGCTTTCTGTCTCTCTGTCTCTCTGTCTGTCTGGCGAGCGCACATGCCCTATAGCAAAAACCTCTCCAAAAAAAAAAAAGAAGAATGAGAGGGGACACAGAGCAGCCCCCCCCCTGTGCCCAGGCTGGCCCTGGTGATCCCAGCCGCCACCCAGTGCCCAAGATGGCCAATCTCCTACCACAGCCAGAGCCCTCCATGCCCAACACCGCCCTGCTTATCAAGAACCCCTTGGCTGCCACCCACGAGTTCAAGCAGGCCTGCCAGCTCTGCTACCCCAAGACAGGTAAGGCCATGCCTGCAGACCCCACTCCTCTGCCCAGAGAGGCTGGAAATCTCAGGAAAGGAACTAGGGGGACAGGGTGGAAGAATCCTGGCATATCCATCAGAGATACGTGCAGGAAAACAGAAGCCCTGCAGGGCAGGAGAGGGACAGGGTGGGCGCTTCAGGGCCTGGTCTCCATAAGTGCTGCTAGACAGTCTTTCTAGAGCAACCCTGAAGAGTGCAAAGGAGTGATAGAGAGGGGGTGGGTTCCTTGGATGGATTCTTCCCCAGCCCCCAACACAGATCTAGTCTCTAGGGAGCACACAGCAGGGAAGGGTGTGGTGGGAGCTGGTGGGAGGCTCAGGGAGGGAGGTGGCTGTCAGACAGGGGGCTGCTTCTGCTCTGCTTGGGCCTGTGAGCCATCACCCTACAGCTCTGCTTCCGGAACCCCTGTCCTCATCCACCTGCCCACAGGCCCCAGAGCTGGCGACTACACCTACCGAGAGGGCCTTGAGCACAGGTGCAAGCGGGACATCCTGCTCGGCCGGCTCCGCAGCTCCGAGGACCAGACCTGGAAGCGGATCCGGCCTCGGCCCACCAAGACCAGCTTCGTGGGCTCCTACTACCTGTGCAAAGGTATGTGGGCTGCAGCTGGGGCCTGGCTCTTCCCACGTCCAGCCACTGCCCTGCTTCTCACAGGTAGACAGAGCAGACGTGGTCCTCCCGGCCTCGCAAGGAGGCAATAGGGGCTCAGGGACTCCCAGGGCCCTCAAGTTCACACCACCTGTCCTTTCCCACTCCATAGGCAGGTGGGAAACACTCAACATGCCCCCTGGAGCCGGGACCCCCACGGATCTGGGTTGCATAGACCAGGGAGAGCTGGTTTCTGCAACCACTGCGGGGTCCCGAAGGGCCCTTGGCAGGAGGCGGAGAGAACTCATGTGAGCTGTTGGTGCTGGCCCATACTAGGGCTCCATGACGTTAGCCCTGCTAATTATCCTGTGGGCAGTGTCCTCGCTCTGGCTCACGTCCATTCAGCTGGTCCCTAGAGAACGTTCATCATGTACCCTATGGTGTTGTGGTCCCACCTGCGACAGCGTGTGTGAACGGCCAGAGGTCATGCTGTGTACTCCGCGGCTTGGCCCCTTCCTGCTCACTGCCCTGCCGCCTGCACACAGCAGCCCAGCACGGGGAAATGGAGGCTTCGAGAAGCTACCCTAGGCTGCTCCTCTGTCCCCCGACCCAGCCCACATCACTAGCCCCCTCAGGCCTTCGGGACCAGCTCATTGTCCTCCCTGCAGCCAGGCTGGTCTAAAGACATGTCACTGGGGCTCAGACGTCCCTGCCAGCCACTGCCAGTGGCCAGTGGGGTGAAGTCCCAATTCCCCGAGGTCCATACATGCCCTTATCCTCTCTGCTCTGACCATCCTCGCTCTCGTTCCATTGCACACGCAGCCCCTTGGGCCTGTTGTCTTGTTCCTGCTTCACGCCCTTTCCCACGACCCCCCCTCGGCAGCCACCTCTACCCCCACTCAGAGGTCTGGCTGCCCCTCCAGTTTTGTGGTTCATCCTCGTGTGCCCAGAGCCTGGCGGAGGGGCAAGACAGGGCAGCCTTAGAAAGAGTAGTGGCTCGGTGGTAAAACTGCAGTGCTCTGTAAGGCTGCCCCTCAGGAGAAGGTTCTGGGTTCACATCGAGAGACCCTCTGAGCACACCGGGTGCACGTGTGCCCATGATCCAGGGTTGGCTGAAGCTGTGTGGAGCAGTACCCAGACCCTGGTGGGGACGCTGTCTTCCCTCTCTTACTGTCTCAATTGTTCATGGAAGAAGTTGAATAACTTTTTTGTGTTTTTCTTTGCTAGAGGTTGTTTGCACAGGCCAGAGTGAGAGAGAAGAGAATGCACCCCTCCTGGGGGATGGTCACACCACAGTTCCCTCTCCGTCTCCCTGCTTTTGGGATTTGGGGCATGCACGTGTGCCTGGCGTATTTCACAAACCACCAGGTCCAGGACTCAAACGATGTGGTTGGCACACAGGATCTGGCTGCCCAACCACCAGGCCACACAGCTAACCCATAAATAGCTTTTAAAAAGAAGAGTGGGAGGAGGAAACAGACAGGTCCCACTCTGGGAAATGTCAGATCTTTGGTTCTGAGGCCATTGAGCTCTCTCCAGACTCTGGGCTGGGAGTTTTATTTATTACCTCACTTGGTCCCCGTAACGACCCAGTGTCCTCCGTTTATGGAGAAGGTGGTGATGCACAGGGAGTCATGAGGAACCCAACCCAAGTCTGTCTGCCTCCAAGGCCCGGGCCCCTAACCATGCAGTACTATTTTCCAAGTCCATAGTAACTTTTTTTTTTTTTTGAGAGAGAGATTTTTGCTATAGGGCGCATGCGCTTGCCAGACAGACAGACAGAGACATAGAGACAAAAAGCGAGAAATCACCCCCCAGAGGGGATGGTCACGCCGCAATCCCTTCTCCTCCATTCTCCTCTCGGGATCTTGGGCACGCACGCACACGCGCCCAGCATGAGTTTTATGCCACTGGGTCCGGGACACGAACCACGGTCGACTACGTGGGAGTCCAGTAACATAGCCATTACGCTAACTGCTGGTTCCCCATAGTAACTTTTGTAATTCCCTCATATTTACTTGGAGGCATGGATACTTCTCCAAGGGGCCTCTCATGACTGTTTTCTTGTTTAACTTGCCAAAGGCAGCTGCTGGGGCGACTGGGCAGGCGAGGCTGCCGTGCTCTGCAGGCCGGAAAAGCCTTGCTGCTCTGCTCCTGTTGGGAAGGGCTGCAGCCACTGCCTCGCCCCGTCGGGCCGA